GGCTGTTGTAAAAGTAGCTGCGTTTACATGGACTCTTATAATCGGATTGACGGCTCAATCGGACTAAAAGCCTTCATGTAAACACCTTAATCGATCGGATTGAGCTTGATCCGATTGAAATTTCGATCGGATTGAAAGGATGGTTTACTCCTTTTGTAATCCGATCGAGAGTACATGTAAACACTTGATCGGATTGAAAACCGAAACTAAAAGGACTGCGCATGTGCAATGACGTTGAAATAGCGTAATGACGTATGACGCACGGAACGAGCTGTTCTTCCTGTTGAATAAAGTGAATATAAATGAGTGTTCCGTTATTAAAAAATTCTCATTTAACTCAGCGTCTGTGAAGTGAAGCAGGACAACATCCCACCAGTGCTTGTTTCAGATTATCATCCATGGACGACTGGTTTTGGGCGCGGGGTTTTACTGCGTGATCAATATTTAGCAGCACGGCAAAACGGTTCATGCTCATTGTCTCCAAATCATGACCAGAGACGGATAAATATTAAGTCTGCTGTTTAAAAAAAATAAAGAACCAATAGAGGAGAATAGTTATGCGCGAACAGCGGCATATTCGTGCAGTGTGGCATGTCAAAAAATCAATTCCGATTTGAATCTTGTGACATATAAACGCGCACATCAAACCGATTACTTTATTTATCGTTCATGTAAACACCGTGTTCGGATTCATCAATCGGATTGATTTCATTCCGATTGAACCATGTAAACGCACCTAGTGTTATAACTGCCATATGAACAAAGAGAAAAGATGATCTGATGGTGTTGGTTATGTTTTAACAAAATCATCAGTTGACCTGAATCACTGAACTAATTTAGAGCCTAATCTCTGACTTAAATGTATATTGTTGATTACACAGTGATTCTACAGCATAAGATCCAGAATTTGATACAATTCAAATGCTTTCTTAAAAGTTGTTCTGATAAAAAAAATCTTTCTTTTAGGCATCAAGAATCAGTGTATGAATCTCAACAATTGTGACAAACAGAATATTCAATTAGGAAAAGGAAATTACTAAGACAATTCAGATCATAATTTATTCATACTGCAATGCATGATGGGAGCCATGAATGAGTTTTGATTGGTGGAGCCCATAATGCACTTCAACGTGCTTTTTTATTGTCACCATTGTTGAGATTCACAGGCTGATTATTGATGTCAGTGTGTCTAAATAAAATCATTTTTCAAACTCTATTGGTCAGAACAAATTTTAAGAAATATTTTGGATTATATTGAAAGTGCTGAAAAACGTTTGCTATAGAATTTATAGTGTTGCTGTAATCAACAAGATAAACCTTACGCTCTAAATGAGTTTTGTGATTCTGGTCAAACGATGATTATGTCAATCCACAACCAACACCTCCTGATCATCTTTTCTCTTAGTTCATCTGGCAGTGTTAACTCAGTTACAACCGCCAAACTAAATCTAATGTTAATAGTTTAAGGGTCAAGAGTCCAACTAAAGCAAACAATGATCACCACAATGGTGACTTCGAAAATTAGATTTTCTCCTTTAGTAATTCTGCTTGTTAACATCAGGTGTCTTCAATAATGGTCAATCATCATTCAATTAATCACTTAATTAGCTCATTAACTTTAACACTCTTGAGTGTTAATTTAACACTCATATTTTAACTAGGGCTGGGCGATATATCGCACGATATTGTTATGCGCATCTCATCAGTAAAGCCGGTTCCTTGATTAGTAGTAAATCACCTTCACCTGCTTTCAGATGGAGTGGCATTTACTACAAAGAGCCGTAGTTAACTGACAAGCTGAGCCAAATCGCACTAATATCGCGAACGTATCGCCAGCGATATTTAATGCGATATGGCTCAGCTTGTCAGTTAACTACGGCTCTTTACACATCAAAAACTCAGTGTTAAATGAACACACCTGGGAGTGTATATGAGTCCACACTCAAGAGTGTTAAAGTTAATGAGATAATTAAGTGATTAATTGAGTGATGATTGAGCATTATTGAAGACACCTAAAGCAGAATCACTGAAGGAGAAAACCGGAATTTCAGGTCAACATTATGGAGATGAGTGTTTGCTTTAGTTGGGGTCTTGACCCTTTTATTCATAACTTTAGAGTTTGTTTGACTGTTATATCTAAGTTATACCTGCAAGATGAACAAAGAAAAATAAAGATCTAATGGTATTGATTATATTATGACATTCATCATTTGAGCCAAGTGTTTGTGATTTATGCTGTTGGTTACAGCATAACTGCGATTCTGCATAAATATCCAGAATTTGTGATATAATATAAAGGATTTCTTAAATGTTGTAAAAAAAAAAAAGAAATTGTTTTAGGCACACACACATATGAAGATTCAGTCAATGCATCTCAACGATGGTGATGAGCAGAATATTCAATTAGGAAAAGTAAATTACAATTCAGACAATTCAGATCATAATTTATTCATACCGCAATGCATGATGGGAGCCATTAATGAGTTGTGATTGGTGGCAACAAGGATTATTATTGTCACCACGGTTGAGATTCACAGGCTGATTATTGATGTCTGTGTTTCTAAAGAAATGCATTTGAAAGTGATTTGTTCAGAACAATTTTTATTAAATGGTTTGGATTATAAGAAACATACAATTATCATATGCTGAAGAACCACTAAACTGTTGCTATCAAATTAAACAAGATCATCTGAATGAGTTTCATTTTTCAGATCACAGCATGATTATTTCAAAACATAACCAATACTATCAGATCACACTTGTTTTTGTTCATTTGACTGTAATAAATCAATAACAGCAGACAAACAAAATTTAAACTTAAAATATATGGATCAAGAGCCCAACTAAAGCAAACACTGATCGCTATAACGGTGGCTTAAAATTTTAGATTTTCTCCTTCAGTGATTCTGCTTGTTATCATCAGGTGTCTTCAATAATGCTCATTCATCACTAAATTAATCACTTAATTATCTCATTAACTTTAACACTCTTGAGTGTTAATTTAACACTCATATCTGCATCATATCTTCCATCTGAAAGCAGGTGAAGGCGATTTACTACCAATCAAGGAACCGGCTTTACTGAAGAGACGCATAACAATATCGTGCGATATATCGCCCAGCCCTAATTTTAACACTCTTGTGTCTGGAGCCAAATAAACTCCCAGGAGAGTTAATTTAACACTGGAGTTTTTGCTGTGTATACTGTAAAAAAGGAGAGCTGTAAATTAACGGTAAAGGGCTGTAAATTAACAGTACATTGCTGGCAACCACAGCTGCCAGTAGATTACCGTTATTTTACAGTGCAATTTTTTACAGTCTGATTAATGGTTCCATTCACCTGTACCGTTAATTATCTCATCAGTTCTTGTGTATTTATTCTCCCTGTTGGGTTATGTTCTTTATCTGTGTCGTATCCAGATAGCAAGCAACCATCGGAAAACAATGTGTATGTCAAAGTTAATCACATCGAATCAACTTCACTTCTGCACCTGCAATTAATGTTGACAAAATGTCATAATTGAATCAATGTTATGATGTTGGTTCAACATTATGCTTGCATTCTCAGAAAATGAAACACAACCACTTCAAATGACTTAAAGACACACAGCCTGAAATCAACTGAAGAGAAAAGAAGACACTAAACTTAGAGCGTTGGTGCTTGCAACGCCAATGTCATGGGTCCGATTCCCATGGAAAGCAAGAACTGATAAGAATGTAAATGTGTACTTTTTAAATGCAATGTAAGTCGCTTTGGATAAACCAGACTGACTTTATTTCTGTCAGACGTCTACAGAAGCTCTTATTGAGAATTAACAAAGGTTGATGTTTTATTGAAAATGTTTGGTCACCATTTTGGTGATCAGTGTTTGCTTTAGTTGGTCAGTTTGACTCTTTTTATCTGAATTTGTGGTCTTCGTAACAGTGTTTCCAAAAATACATAATCCAATACTTATATACAAATTCACCAATCTTAGCTCTGCAAGCATGAAAAAGAGCAAGCATTTACATGCAACCAATTATCCATTACTATTTGGATTGATGGCTTAATCGGACGGAAAAGTCTTTATGTAAACACTGTAATCGATCAGATTTTGCTCGATCCCAACGAGATTTTGATCGGATAGAAAAGGAAGGTTTATTCCATTTCTTATCCGATCGAGAGAACATGTAAACACTTTATTGGACTGAAAACCGAAACTGAATGGACTGCGATCTATTCCGATTTGAAGCTTGTGACATATAAATGCGCACATCAACCCGGTCACGAGTCGTAGAGGAAGAGCTCACGGAGAGCAGCAAGTATACCAACATTAGAGATTTCACTCAAATAGCTCACAATTTACCTGAATTTAAGCAATCGAGCCACATAGCAATTATGTGATATTTCACACAGTCATGCCAATAAAGAACATTTGAATTTAATTGAGAGAGATTGCAACAACAACAAAAAAAAGCCTAAAAAAATAAAAACAATCTAGACTGCATAACACAGAAGTGTTGACAGTTTTGTGGATGAAGTTAAGCATGTTTTTCACATAAGACTGTAAGCAATTGTCATGAGTTCCTCTTTATTATTCTCATGGCTTTTGAATGAAGAAGTCTTTTCTGAGAGCGCAAGCATGATGTTGAACCAAAATCACATAGTAATTTTTTAACATTAACAGCGGGTGTAAAAGTGATGTTGATTCAATGTGATTAATATTGACACATTGACATTGATTTAACATTGTTTGATGGTTGCTTGCTATCTGGAGTAGCTTTACTATGTGGATGTTACCCTGTCATTCAAACCTGTTTTCTGTGGATTATCTTATTAAAGCCTATTTCTGTAAATTCTGTAAATACAAATTTAGTTAATGCCTAAAACAAGAAACAAATACGGTCAGAAAAATAAAACTTAATTTAAAAGGAAAACAAATTTTACCAATTCAAATCCTTGTGCAATAAATTGCCAGAAATAACAGCATTAGCTATGATCAAGCTCAAAAAGCATCTGGGTTACTCACTTTTTATAACATCCAGATTCACTTCAGTGTATAAATCTATGTCTATAGTTCTATCAACTGTACACTGGTACGTCCCAGAATCCTCTTCTCTCAGATCTCTGATGGTCACAGTGAAGACTGCTGATCTTGTGTCGTCATACAGAGAGAATCTATCCTTCTGAACCCATGTATATTTCTTATCAGTCTTGATTTGGTCTTTGCAGTTTGACCACTGTTCTTTACAAAAATACTTTTTATTCTCTGTATATCCTTCATCATAACTGCATGTGATGTTGACTTCTCCTCCTGAATATCCTGTCACACTCATGGAGCTCACGACACCTACAACACACCAGCATTAAAAGACTTTATTATGTTGATTATGAGGATCCAAATTGCTTTCAAATGTTTCCTCAGTTTCTTACCAGGAATCATCAGCAGAGTGAAAGTCCAGATGATCTTCATTCTTCTCTGTAAAGTCTTTCTTTTCTATCAGTTGGTTCAGTTCTGTATTCAGTCTTGAGTATTTCTGAAGCTCTCCGTGTGTTTCAGCGTTTTCTAGTGTTTCGTCATGAATGTGATGAGATGCTGACTTCCTATTCCTTTGTCTTCTGCATGTGTCACAGATACACCTGAAACAGAGAGAAAACTAATTAAAAAAATTAAATCTATACAGAAAAAAATACAGAGACAGTTATTTCACTAAAATATCTCACAATTTACCTGAATTCAGCAAGCGAGCCACATAGCAATTGTGTGCTATTTCACACAGCCATGCCAATAAAGAACATGCCCAAAAAAATTATTTAAATTGAATTGAGAAAAAAAAAATCGAGTTTTATTAAAATTAAGACCAATCTTGACTGCATAACACAGAACTGTTGACATGTAAAGTTTTGTGGATGAAGTTAAGCATGTTTTTCACACAAGACTGTGTAATTTTCATAAGTTCCTCTTTATTATTCTCCTGGCTTTCAAATGAAAACAAATATTATAATAATATGAAGTAGTAAGTGAACACACTTCTCATAATTTTACTGTACTTCCCGTCTCGATTTCCCTCAATTTCCACATTCTCGTTCTCTATTCAAGTATTCATGAATAAATGTGGTTCTGCTTAAACTACAGAAAACACCCACACTACAGCATGCTTGATCATTAAGCTCATGTTTTTAGTCAACTATTAGAGTTGAATTAAATATATTACATTTCTGTCATGACAACTCTTGGAGAGACTGGCATAATGGATATAACACTGTTTTCACAGCCGATTTGGAGATTTGGGGCACAGTTGTGCAACAGCTGAAAGATTGCTATAAAAATAATATAATTTATATATATAGGAACCCTTAAAATGTGGATGAAGAATTAACACACAAACAGCAGCAGGCTCAACTCATAGAAACTACTCGGTTACTCACGTAACCTCAGTTCCCTGAGTTAGGGAACGAGTATTGCGTAGCTATACGCAGTGGGGAAACTCCTTTTCCTCGATTTACTGAAGCCTTTATGTAAAGCGCATTTGCAGCTGCTCAGCAGAACATGAGCGTCTGGCTCGCTCATAGGCTGAGCTGCCGCAACTGCATATCCAATGGCGCGGGCGCCTCTGACGTGCGACCAATGAGATCACTCTGCGTCATACACGTCAGAGCCCGCCTAGGGGGCGTGTCCTCAGACTATAATAGTCCCCGAATTCGCCATTATAGCAGGTTTAACGACTGAAGCGACAACTTGCCATGTTACTATAGTGCGGCTGGCTACGCAATACTCGTTCCCTAACTCAGGGAACTGAGGTTACGTGAGTAACCGAGTAGTTCCCTTTCGAACGGTCACTTCGTATTGCGTAGCTATACGCAGTGGGGACGCCATGCAAAACGCCGCACTGGATAACTGGCTGCCACTGCAACTCAGGACCCCTGAGCATACAGAACAAGCCATAACCGCAAAATTACGTATAAATAGACCAGACACCGTCAGGTCTAAATAGTACACCTCAGTTAGTAATAACCCAACCTACTACACCAATGAACCCAGACCCTGTCGGGGTTATTAGTATATGAACACACCACCAGTCAAGTGGGTATATATATATATAATTTTAACCGGCAAACGCGGGTTTATATATGTATGGAATATAACCGGCCAAAGCGGGCTTATATCTCTCATATAACCGGCCAGCAGCGGGTTTTATGTATATATGAATTGTGATTGTGTACAGTAATATATGACAAGACCAGCCACCGACGGGTCTTAATCATACCGAAAGCACCTTCGCCTGCAGGGAAGGCACTTCCATATTATAGAATTTCATAAATGTGGAAGGCGAGGACCAGCCGGACGCATCACAAATATCCCTGATGGGAATGCCAGATGACCAAGCCCATGACGAAGCCATACCTCTGGTCGAATGGGCCTTGATACCTATAGGGCAGACCTGACCCGTTGCGGTATAAGCCATAGAAATAGCATCCACTATCCATCTAGACAGTCTTTGCTTAGTGACTGGATCCCCCTTGGATCTACCACCAAAGCAGACAAAAAGCTGTTCTGATTGTCTAAAAGACGCAGAACGCTCCAGATAGATTCTCAGTGCTCTGACAGGGCAGAGAAGATTAACCTCTCCATCCTCTGCAGAAGGAGGGAAGGCCGATAACGTCACTTCCTGTGCTCTGAACGGTGTTGAGAGCACTTTAGGAACGTAACCGTGTCTGGGCTTGAGGATGACTGGAGTCATTTGGACCCCACTCCAAACATGCAGGGCTCACAGAGAGCGCCTGCAGATCTCCCACTCGCTTGATAGATGCCAACGCCATAAGGAGAGCAGTCTTCAGCGAGAGAGGTTTTAGATCAACCGATTGGAGTGGTTCAAAAGGCGGACCTTTCAGGGCCCCCAGGACCGTGGAGAGGTCCCAAGACGGCACAGACGGAGGTCTGGAGGGGTTCATTCTCCTAGCACCTTTAAGGAACCTCACGACCAGGTCGTTTCTTCCCAGTGACTGGCCAGCCACCAGAACATGATGTGCTGCTATGGCTGCCACATACACTTTGAGCGTGGACGGGGAGCGACCCGCATCCAGCAGCTCCTGTAAGAATGAGAGAACCACCGATATCTCACACGACTCTGGGTCAGCCTGATTTTCCGAGCACCAGCTGGAAAAACCTGACCATTTTGAAGCATAAAGGCGCCGAGTCGAAGGGGCCCTGGCTTCAGATATGGTGCTTAGGACCTTCTCAGGAAGGGCCTTCGGTGCCCGTTGAGGGGCCAAACATGGAGGGCCCATAAATCGGGTCTCGGATGCCACAATGTCCCGTTCGCCTGTGTGAGGAGGTCTTTCCTCAGTGGGACAGGCCATGGGCTTGTGTCCGATAACTGAACCAGTTCCGGGAACCAAGGTCTGGTTTTCCAGAGAGGGGCCACCAGAAGGACTGGACACCCGCTCTCCCTGACCCGTTTGATGACTTGTGGAATCATTGAAACGGGGGGAAAGGCATAAAGGGGACGGTTGGGCCAGACATGAGCCAGCGCGTCCCTGTTCTTCGAGAAGAACAATTTGCAGTGGGTGTTGCTTTTTGAGGCGAAAAGGTCTATTTCGGCCTCCCCAAACACCTTCCATATCAGACTGACCGTCTGTGGGTTCAGGGACCACTCGCCGAGGGGAGTGTTGCCCCGAGAGAGCATATCCGCGCCCACATTCTGGACGCCTGGGATATGCGCTGCCCTCAGAGAGCTCAGGTTGGTTTGTGCCCATAAGAGGAGGTCTCTCGCCAACGCATGCAGGTTTCCTGACCTGATGCCCCCCTGGCGATTTATGTAGGCCACTACTGACATATTGTCTGTGCGGACTAAAACATGGTGGCCTCTGAGGTTCGACAGAAATGCCTTCAGGGCCAACCCAACTGCTTTCATCTCCAGACAGTTGATATGTAAGCTCTGCTCCGTGCTCGACCAGAGGCCGGATGCAGGCATGCCCTCGTGCAGCGCTCCCCAACCTAGGTTGGACGCATCTGTAAGAACCACTTTCCTCCTGGAAATTGTTCCCATTGTCACCCCCTTGTGGTACCAGTTCTGAGCTTGCCAGGGAATCAGGGTTCTTAAACAACCGTGATTCACCATAATAAGCAAGTTGCCTGAATGCCATGCGTGCGCTGGCACGCGGCGTTTCAGCCAATGCTGCAGCGGGCGCATGCGCAGTAATCCCAAGCGGAGTACTGGCGATGCTGCTGCCATGAGACCAAGCAGTTTCTGAAATTTCTTCAGTGGCGCGCGCTCGCGCGCTCTGAACGTGCCTGCAAGCGCTCGCACTGAGAGCGCGCGCTCTGGCGTGAGTCGCGCTGTGTAGACTTGGAATTAAAGCCTCTTTTGTTTTCCCGTTATTATTTGATTTACGGGACCGGACACCAGTTATCTTGCCAAGAAAGATTTTTATTCTTATATGTCAGGAGAGAAACTTCAAGATGTTGTATTCATGCCAGGTCAATGCGTTTCCGTGTTTCTCTGAGGTAGTACAGTAAGATTGAGTTTTTATACATCACAGAGAGTCTTACAGCTTCCTTGTAAGGTAACAAAACATGTTGCTCTGAGCTTCTTAAAATTAGAACGTATGTCATACGTATACGTTATGCTTAACATGTCACAATTCACTTCCATATTAAGAACTATCCTTGTTGTTTACATCTGTGATACACTCACATCAGTAGAACATGTTACATTGTACACACCCTCTAAGCAAAATATAGCTTCCTCCTGTCTGACATATGATCATCCCATGGACCCATGCTATCTATAGCCCCTCATGCATTCAAACTCATGCTTTTGAAACTTCATAAGATGATACAACTGATTATGAATATTAATAAAGAATAATAATACAAATACATAATATTTAATAATGAAATAATATTAAAAGATGAAATTTTGAATCTTCATTTCCCTCCACTGGAACTACGGCCGTCAGTTCCACACCATCATTCCCAGGTGGCCAACCTATAGAAGTGATAGTGAGGAGAAGAAATAGCAGACCAAGAAAATAGACAGAAAGAACAGAAGAATGGAAACAGAAAAGGAAAAAGAAAAAAACAAAACAAAGAACAAAACCCCAACCCATGATATGTTCCCGTATACTATGTGTATTTTAATATCTATGTGTATGCATTTAAAATGAACCCCAATAATCTAAGAAAAGAAAAACTAAAAAGTCTTCTGTCCGTGCCTGAACTCATTAATTAATTAACTCGTTAATTAATTAAATCCTCCAGTTCCGAACCAAAACAAGAAATTAAAATAAACGTTGATGTTAAAGGATCCTATCCCTTGGGGTTGAAAATCAGTAAACGGATGTTCATTGTTTGTGAGGTAGTGTTTTGTATAAAATGTCTTATTTCACGCTGTATGTCCCATTCTTAGTTCTATCCATTTGGTTAGAAATAATCAATTTGACAGGTTTGGTACTTTTCCTTCTAGTAACACATATAAGGACTTGGATTATTAGCATGAACA